TTAACCAATCAGTTTTCTTTCTATTCTGTCTCACTGCCCCACCTTACAAGGAGAGTAACTTTGAAGTGACCAACTTGCTTTTTGTTGTTTCTTCTTTCTTCAGCCCTTTTTCTGTCTATAAAGCCAACCACATCTGCTCCATTCATGGGAACACCTATTCTATCGGTGTTCTATTGCCCCTCACCTTCCTTCAACTTTTTGCCACCTCCCCCAGAGCTCGGAGGAACTTTGTCCCAGACCATTGTCTGTTCTTTGAGCTCATTCATGTCTTCTGAAAATAATTTGCTACCCCTCAAAATTGCTTACGTCCTCTATTTTCTTCTCCCCTACGAAGCGAGTACTTGAGTGTCAACTGTCTGGCCCTTCTTTGAGTCTTATGTTTTGTATGACTCTTGTGCACAGTATCATGTTAATACCTTTGTATGCCTTTTCTCCTGTTATTCTCTCTATTGTTGGTAATTTCATCAGACTCAAACCTTCAGATGTGAAAAATTTCCTTTGCCCCCAACAATAAACTGGTTAATTCTGTTCTATGCTAATCTCCTTCTGATAACGTCTTGCTAAAAACATAAAAAATCACCAACATCTACCATTAATATTGCTTTCTGAACTCCTCCCTTAGCTTTACAAGTTATGTAGATACTAATCTGCCTTGTGAGATATTGTAAGCAAGAGTTTAGCCACCGCCTAATGTGAACCTTCAGCTGTCCACCCTCCTACATCTATTTCCTCAATTCCCACCTGATTACTGTGCTAAGCTAATGACACATATTTTAGTTTTTTGTTATTGTAGGCCATCGCTATTGTTAATCCGAGTTAGTGATTTTAGCTATTGCAACAAACCACCCTCAAATCTCAGGGTCATAACCCAATAAAGATTTATTTTTTGCTCCAATCAGTCCAATGAGGATAAGTGTGTTGATACAATTATTAAGAAACCCAGAGTCCTTCTATTTAATGTTTCTGCCATCCCCCAGCTTCTCAGAGTTTTCTGTATCTGGCTGACTGGTGTGTGAAAAACAAACGGGAACTATAAATTACTGGAAGTTTTAAGGTCAGGCTTACATGGGAGGGTCACTGCTTCTGTTTACATTCCACTGTCCAGAATTAGTTACACAGCCCGATATAAAGGTAAGATAGCGGGGAAACATAGGTTTCCTGGGTGCAAAGAGGAAAATAAGATGGTGAATATGTATCATTATCTCTGTCACACTTAACGATGATTTCAGTTGCAGGTAACAGAAAATTCAACTCAAATTGGCTTTGTTGGGGAGGAAAAACTTTTCCTTCTACTTTTTGAGGTTCTATAATTGGGGGCCTATGAATTAAACTGACAAAGGACAAGAGAAGACAGATTTTAATCACATATATATAAGGGAGATCACAAGGAAGTGTGACTCCAGAGGCTGGTTAGAATTTGGGGCTTATAGACTGATACTTCCCTGAAGGGGAGGGGGAGAAAAGCACTTATGGGAAAACAAATGACTTCTTAGAAGGGGAAGGAGCGGAAAGGGCACTTATGGAAACGACTTTCGGGAAAGATAAATGGGCCCTTTGGAGAATAGATGGGAGATATCGTAGTTTTTTGACAATGTCTGTTTAGATGTGGTGACAATTCTCACAGTCTCTGACAGTGACTCAATCTTCCTTGGTTGCTCCCTGGAGGGAATTTATAACAATTGAGTTCTTTTGGGTTCTTTTGAAAGGCTCTGCTTTTAGGTAGATAAGGAATTTCAGGAACTTAAACATATTCAGCTCAAAATAATCTTTATGCCACAATGGCTTATTCTGGATCCCTTCAGCTTAAACAACAAAGGGAATTTATTGGCTCATAAACCAGAGAAGTCTAGAGGTAGTATGGGTTCCGGTGATGTTTTATTTGAAGGTTTATGATTCTCTCAGGGATTGGCTTCCTTTCCCTATGATTGATTCTCCCAACCATTCCTCCTCCACGTGTTGGCTTTATTTTCAGTTGGCTCTACTTAGTAGCAAAGGAAAAAAAAAAAGAGAGAGAGAGAGAGAGAGAATGTAGCTCTTCCAGTATTTACATTTGAATGCTATACTATTCAGAGAAAAAAAATAACTTCTCTGTTCTTTGCTATAAAACAAAAATCCTAGGCTTCCCTCTGATTGGCCTCTGAAACAAAAACTAGTTCAAAGGGTGAGGATAACTCTGATAACTTTTGGCCAGTTGGACAATTCTTGGACCTGTTATGGGGTGTATTACGTCTGTCCAAATTGCATAGATGAACACAAAGTACTTGTGGAATGAGAGCTGGGAGATCACCCATATTCATTGCAGTAATTCAGGTAGGGATATGGAGCATAATCTCACTTAAGGAGAATGAGTACTGTGAGGATATCTATAGCAAGTGTGTAACATGTAAAATAGGCTGAGAACATAAGTCAGAGAAGCTCGTAAAAAACGATGGGAAAGTTCAGACAGTAAGTCAGGAGAACCAAAAGAATGGCGTTCTAGAGGCCAAGGGCGTATGATGTCAGAAGTTTGAAGTACGATGTCAGAATCATCCAAATAACTTCCTGTGTGCTGATTCTATATTCATGAGTCATCTTTTGTAATTTGGCTTCTCATGTAAATGTTCCTTTGAATGAAAATGTTAACCAGCTTTCTGGACTCCATGGCAGTTGTGTTTTTCATGAACAACAACAAAAAACAATTGCAATTCTCGTTTACACATGAGTCTCAGTAAGTCTGGTTGGTATGAATCATCCCGCAGGATTCAAATTAGTTCTGGAGACTGGCAACATGGAGCTTTTGTCTCTACAAAGTGAGGACTAGACTCTAGAATACAGAGTGCAATCTTCTCTTTCACCCTGTTACAAATAAAAATAATAGGATGCCATCATTTTGTTTTATTTTTTATTTTTACTTTTTATTTTCATAGGTTTTTGGGGAACAGGTGGTGTCTGGTTACATGAATACGTTCTTTAGTGGTGATTTCTGAGATTATGGCGCACCCATCACCCGAGCAGTGTACACTCTACCCAATGTATGGTCTTTCATGCCTCACTCCCCTCCCACGCTCTCCGCGGAGTCCCCAAAGTCCACTGTATCATTACTGTGCCTTTGCATCCCTACAACTTAGTTCCCACTTATGAGAACATACAATGTTTGGTTTTCCATTCCTGAGTTACTTCACTTAAAACAATGGTCTCCAATTCCATCCAGGTTGCTGCGACTGCCATTATTTCATTCCTTTTTATGAGGATGCCATTGTTTTGGACCAAACTCCTGCACTAAGCCCCAACAGACTAGACTAAAAATCAACATGGAGTTACCCATGCTCACAAAACTGAAACTGAGTTGTTATGTGGCCTTCTGAGAAATCAGGAGAGAGGTAACAGCCTAATTTCCCAAACAGGCCAGTTTAAACCTTCAATCCCCATAATAATGAAGTTCCCTGTTTTAACTCTTGTTTGTTTGTTTTTGAGACAGAGTCTTGATCTGTTGCTCAGGCTGGACTGTAGCGGCAGGATCATGGCTCATTGCAGCCTTGAACTCCTGAACTGAAGGAATCCTCCTGCCTCAGCCTCCTCAGTAGCTGGGACTACAGGTACACACCACCACACCCGGCTGCTATTGTTCTTACAATAGTAACCTGGAGTAACCTGATATTAACCAATCAGTTTTCTTTCTATTATTCTGTCTCACTGCCCCACCTTACAAGGAAAGTAACTTTGAAGTGACCAACTTGTTTTTTGTTGTTTCTTCTTTCTTCAGCCCTTTTTCTGTCTATAAAGCCAACCACATCTGCTCCATTCAAGGGAACACCTATTCTGTTTTATGGAACGAAGTGATGCCTGAATCTAGAATTACAATAAAGCCAAGTGAGATCTTTAAATTCGTTGTAATTTTGCCTGACACTGTAGCATGCTTTGCTAACCTGTAGGGACTGTATTTGAAAAACGACGTCTTAAGAATATTCCAAGATTTTGGAATTTTTAAACTTTCCATGTTTGCTGTTTTGACTATTTTCTGTCTTTTCCTGTAAAGTTTATTTTCAGGGCCAGCAGGAAAGGGAAAGCTGGGTAGATGATCCCAGGCCCATTTGGGAGAAGGCTAGGTCATGGTTACCTCCAAGTACACAAGATCTGTAGGAGTGATCCAGGTGGCCTTTGGGGAAGATTAATTTGGGGGCAGTAATCAATATGGAGACTACAATAATGATAAACACTTGAGGAAAGCTAGGGAAAGCTGGATGAGAGAGAAGAAACTGAATTCAAATAGGAAGACGAATTAGCAAGATTCAGTGATTGAACAGGGTGTCTGTTAAGGATCCTACCAGGCAAGATTTCAAGTCTTGGTCACTCACAAGCTGCACCAGTAATGCCATTGCTCTTGAGAAGACAATCAGTTTAGGAAACTTTCCTTACAGATCAGAATACAACCTTTAGCAAGTATTTATGCAAGCAGTATCTTGACAAGTGTTCTTCTTGTAAATTCTTATACTTCTCGTTGTCATAACTTTTGAAAATGCTATTACAGGTTAATATCCAGATGGCAGAATTAGGAATTAGAGTGTGAAAGTTAATCATTCGAATTGGGTCACTCTTGTCATAGCCAACTAAAAGAGTGGAGAAGCCAATGGTGGGGGAAGCCCTCAGGGCACATAACATTGCTCCAAGAATAGAATTCTCTGCAAGCCTGGCTGCTGAAACCACCTGCTGTAACCTGAAATAAGTTTTATCTTCAGGTTTTAGCTTCTGAAAGAACCTGCTGCAGCTGTAGGGCAAGTTTTACCAACCCCCTTTACTCACCAATCAGAACTAACCAGCTGCCCAAAACTTTACTAAATGTCAATGAACTTTCTGGAAAAACAATAGATAACTTTTTAAAAAAAAAAATAAAACCCCCTAACTCCTCTTTGTTCTTCTCACATACTGAAGACCACCCTGTATTTGTAATAACCTGAACTTGCAATTCCTGTGTCCCAAATGAAATGCTAAATGTAGAGATTCGTCTCTTCGTCTTTGACTTCGACAGGGTCGCAAGCAAAACCACACATTTAAAACAGACTTGGTAAAATCAGCCAATTATGAAAAGAAACGGACGATTCCTTTTTCTCTTCTGGTTTAGCCTTCGCCCCGCAGCCTCCGCGATTCTTTCGAACGGCGGTTCTATCCCGTGACCTTTTCACTTTCCAAGTCAACGGACTGGGGGTCGTTACACACGCGGAGGGCCCGGAACGCACGGCTCCTCGCCTGCAAATTCCGAGCAGTCCGGATTTTGGGGCTGCCGCCCGGCCACACCACCGAGCAGCTCGCACCCACATGGTGACCGGGCCCTGGCCCTCGCCCCCGACCGGCGCGTGGGTCTTCGAGGGCCCGCGACGCGGCGCACATGTCGGTGCCCGCCTCCCGCGTCGGCGACAAGACAGGGAGCTCGGACACGGGGAGGCTGACCCGGAGCCTACCCATGAGGCAGCGCGCCGGCTGCACGAGAGCCCCCCCTTTCCACGGCTCGGCTGCCAGCTCCGCAATGGGAGCCGCCGCCGTCGCCGCAGTGTAGTTTTTCGTGCTCCTCCTTTTCCTCCTCCTCTTTCTCCTCCTCCTCAGGGCTCCAGTCAGGCCGATCCGCTCCGCTCACGGTAAGCGCCCCCCGCCCCCGCCCGCCCTGCGCTGCAGCAGGCAGAGGCCCTCCCGCGCGGCCTGCGCCGCCTCACTCCGGGGGCGCTGGACTGGGGGTCTTGAGGCCGGCGCGGGTCGTCGGGAGCGCCCAGGGCGCGGGGGAGGAGACCGGCTGCGCGGCGGCGGCCGGACCGCCATCTTGCGTCGGCCCAGGCGGGGGAGGAGGGATCCCGGCGCGACGCGGCAGCCGCCTCGGCTGCTGCAGGCCTGGGCCGCGCGGGCCGCCGCCTTCTGCTCCTCCGCCACCTCCCCTCCCAGGCCTGTGCGCCTGTTTGTCCCCAGCCTGGTTTTGGCTTTTCTCTCTGGAGGCAACTCCCTTTGGTACATTTTGTGCCGATGTTTGGCCAAGACCCATGCTTCTCACACCACAGCCCACCCCCGTGTCTCTTCAGTCGTAGGAAAGGAGACCAAAAGGGGGTTCGGGATTTGCAGGCACAGGGCCCCTCGTTTGGCCCAGATGACCGGTCGTTCCACGTTTGCACCCTCATTTTTGTCAGAGGGACCTCCCCTGCTCTGCCATAGAATTCCCGTTATTGTCTACAGAAGAAGGGCCCTGAGGAGAAACGTGGAGTTGGAGACACAATTTTCTGAGCTTTGCAAGGTTCACTTACTGAGACGGAAACAATGATCTCACTCTGAGGTTTTAGCCTGCTCCAGCGATGAAAGGAGTTCCTCCCAACTTATCTCAAGTTTTAACTCTTTTAAGGAGAAATCTGCTGGAGAGGAAAAACGTCAAGGTGAACCCGCTTCTGCAAGCACGGGAGACCTTTGGCCAAGAGTCTTTGTTTGCGAAGATTCGTTAGTTTAAAAAAAAAAAAAATCTGTCATCTTAAATATTTGGCTTTATTGTTTTCAGGTTTGGACAGAATTGGTCTTTTTTAGTGCCATGAAACATAAAATGGAACGCTGGAAGGAGAGTTTTAAAGCACAAAAGCTGCCTCTTAGCATCTGTAAGGTGTCCTGCTTTGGGGGACTACTGTGCCAACTCCAGCTGTCTCCACGCAGAAACTTAACCAGGGAAGGCGCTGGTTTGCTTATACCATTGTTAGGGCTGTGTGCCTCTGATGTTTTAACATCATTACAAATACCGTTGTCATTGTGTCTTGCTTTTGTTTCTTTCTTTGATAACCCCTGATTTGTATCTCTTAGCAAACCCTTTTGAAGTGGTCTGGGTTGCGGGAATCATTTTGCAGGCAAGGAAACAGCCTCAGGGAGGGGACTTGAATGAGGTCACTAACTAGGAAGAGCCAAGGCCAATTTATATTAATAGAACCGTAGGTCTTCTGACTCCTTTTCCAGTGCTCAACGCTAGTATATACCATTTTTGTGGGAACGAAGTAGATGAGAATAGGCAAGGAGGCTCACCTAAAGATTTTAAGAAATACTACTCAATTGCCCTTTCATTGATATTTTTATGTTTTACTTTTGAAATGCGGGTGTTACGTTGCCCAGGCTGGTCTCAGACTCCTGGGCTCAAGCTGACCTCTCAGCCTCCGTAGCTGGGATTACAGGTGTGCATCATCTAGCCTGGCTTTTATATTTTTATTTTCGAATGAATTTATTAACTTTGCAACTTGTTATTTTTTTCGAAAATATTGAAAAGTTAAATAGCCCATTTGAACACCATACCTACCACCTAGTTTTAACGCTACCTTTTTGCCATATTTGCATTTTCCACTTACCTCACATTCTGTTTTCCGAACATTTCAAAGTGCGATACGGATATGACAGTTCAGCCCTAAATGCTGTATGTGTGTCAGTATGTATTTCGTAAGAGATCAAGGCCATTTTTCTGTGTAACAGTACCACAATCACACCTAAGAAAGTGAAGAATATTCCTTACACTCTAACATGTGGTGTAGTATATATTCACATTTCCCCCCATTTCTTCGAAATTCCTTTTCAATCGTTTTTTTTTTGTTGTTGTTGTTGTTGAGATAGGTACTTGCTTTGTGTCCCAGGATGGAGTGCTGTGGAGCAGTCTTGGCTCGCTGCATCCTTGACCTTCTTCCTGGGCTCAAGCCATCCTTCCACCTCAGCCTCCTGAGTGGCTGGGACCCCAGGAGCACACCACCACACCCAGCTAATTTTTGTATTTTTTGTAGAGATGGGGTTTTGCAGTGTTGCCTAGCCTGGTCTCAAACTCCTGGGTTCAAGTGATCCACCTGCCCCGGCCTCCCAAAGTGCTGGGATTGCAGATGTGAGCCACAGCACTGGGTGACATTGATCTTTTGGAGAGACCAGGTCTGTAGTCTTATAGAATAACCCATATTCCATGTTTTAGTGATAGTTTCTCCTCATAGTGTTTAAATTTGTTCCCTCTATCCTGTTTTCTGTAAACTTGGAATTGGGTCTAAAGGCTTGAATATATTCAGGTTTAATATTTTTTTTTTGATAGGAATACTTTGTAAGTCATGCAGTATACTTCATTGCATACAACATCCAAAGGCACATAAAGTAGGCTTGTCTTACTAATAATCCTAAATTTGACAGGCTGTCTTTCCATTGTAAGCATTTCCTTCTGCAATTAGCAAGTAATTTGTGGTGTGATATTTTGGCATTAGGGTAAGAATTTACCTGCAGTAATCTGATAAACACAGTTGGGAGCAGTCCTTTAGGTATGGGTTTGGAAGTTAGGAAGAAGGAGGAGTGGAGACAATTCTGGAGGAAATGCTAACCTATCTACTTTAGGGAACTTGGAATGCTACTGTGTGTCGGCATCAGAGCCTAGGGAGACTAGGAGAGAGGAGGCAGAAAGTAGAAGTCAGAAAGACTTTGCCTTCTTTGAAAGTTTGCTTAGGACCATTTTAGCAGTAGTAAGCTATGGTAAATAGAAAAGTTCTGAAGTAGTTTGATGTTGAAGGATTGCAAGTGCTTCAACTGGAACATCTGTCCAGTTAGGCTACTAATCCAGTCTTTTTTCATTCCAGTGTTTTATTAATCAGCATTGGCTCACTGAAATAGCAATTTTCACAAATGAAAAGTCAACTGTAGTTTTAGGTGACAGGAAATTGGAAATTTCTATTGACAACATATTTTGTATTTTGTTATTCCAGAAGCAAGTTTTGGAAGATGAGGAATGTTTTTGATATATTCACTAATTAAATATATAAATCCTGAATAGTTTTTTTCTTGCTTTAGAGAAGAATTAAAAAACTGTTTGAATTTTCAGTCAGATTTCTTTAAACAGTGATTTAAATAATGACTTGATTTACTTAGTGCCTTGTATCAAAAATTGTATGTTTAGAATTTTAATTCATTTCTCCAAAGCAATTTTAAGGATTCTCTTAACCCTCAGTATAGGAGGAAAAGTATATGATTATCATTATCATCTGGGTCAAAAGGGACTGTTACTTTTTTGCATTTTAAGTTATGTATAATTTATAGGAGTAAAAATATATCATAATGTAAAACAACTTATTGGAGCTTTTAATAAGAATTTAAATATAGCAATTCTCTTTGTATATACTTAGAAAAATAAAAAACAAAATATCTATTTCATGCATTTAATTACATAACACCCCTACAACAAATATACATCACATTTGAACACTTTATGTAAACATTCTTATTATTTAATAACACCCATTTTTTTCCTTTTTGAGTTTTTGTATCTATACAAAGAACATCTTCCTTTCTTCCCATTTTCAGATATGTGCAAAAATCATTCTGGTTAGACTATAAGACAACGTTCCCTTCCTAGTTTCTGCAAGTTATTTTCCTAGTTAGTTGCATGAGGAATTTCTTCTTGGTAACTTACAGTTTTGTAACTGAAGCTTTTCCCATACAATGAAAGTATACTCTGAACTAATACCAGTCATAAGCCATCTTCAAGTCATTCTCTTCCAAGTATTGTTTCTGACCCACTTTTTGAATGTATCACTCCTGTAGTCTTTTTGTAATACAGATCACTTCAGGTTAATTTATGTAAGGATTTAAAATTCATTGATGGTTGAGATGAATTGAGCTGAGAATTCTGGGTAGGTATAGTTTTCCTTAGGACAATAAGAATCATAAAGTATATTTGAAATCCAGATTTTGTGTGATTGACTTCTTTTGCTTTTCCATTTGTGAAAATTCATAGAAGTTCAATGCTCTTCTTCATAAGAGTGCCAACAAGGAGAGTTTTATGCTGTATGATATTCAGCCAAGTCTAAATTTGTAAAAAATTTGTCAAAAGTTGTATGTCTGACAGAATTTTGAAATTTTTCTGGCATTTCTTATATATCAATCTTGATTCTACTCTCATGCCTTTTCCAAATCTCTGTGTAGATCTACATTGTCAGCTTATCATATTTCATTGTCACCTGTGCTCCCAGTTTCAAAAAAATTGTCACCTGTTGCTCAGATTTTCATTTCCTGTTTTTCACCTTTGAAGATATTTCTACCTGAAATGGGCAACATCATCTGAATGGAATTAATTATAGATGCTCCTTGAATTACGATAGGTTACATCCTTGATAAACCCATCATTAGTTGAAAGTATCATGAGTTGAAAATGCATTTAATGCACCTAACATACTGAACATCATACCTTGATTTAGCCTACCTCAAATATGCACAGAACATTCACATTAGTCTACAGTTGGGCAACATCATCTAACTTAAAACTTATAATAATAAAGTGTTGAATATCTCGTGTAATTTATTGAGTACTGTACTGAAAGTGAAAAACAGAATGGTTGTATGAGTACTTGAAGTAATGAATGCACTTTGACACCATGATAGAGTTGAAAAATTGTTTTAAGTTGAACCATCTTAAGTTGGAGACTGTCTGTACTTAGCACCTTTCATACATGACCCTGGAACTATTTGTCTTATGAATACTGATTCTAAATTTCAAATGCTTCCCTAATAGGTTCTTGCTTGTCATTCCTTCTGGGTTGCCTTTTTGCATGTACATCATCAAAATGCGAGACTGGAAGAGTTTCTGAAACCTTTGATAGTTCATAATTTTGTT